TGGCCAGCGGGGCCGGCGGGTCAGGGCAGCGCCGTGGGCCTCATGGCCCAGGGCGAGGCCAGGGGGCCCCGGGCTTTGCAGGGACCTGCAGAGCCCTGAGCTCCAGCCCCTGGCCCGGGGACCCCCCTCCCCGTGGGTCAGGTGGGTGGGGACAGCCCGGGGCTGAATGAAGAGGTCAGAGAGGGGGAGGGGGCCGGCTGCCCTTGCGGCACCCGCGGCCCGCTGGGTGCGGATGTGAGTCCCTCGGGACTATGCTCCAGCGTTCGCACCCCGACCACTCCTGTCACCATCCCGGCTTCGCGCAGCTGCGCGAGTCCCTTGAGCAGGGCTGAGTCAGAAGGAAGCCCTGGGGCTTCGAGCTACCCTGGGGAGTTACCACGTCCCCCACCCCCAGGATCTCCCCAAGGGCCCAAGTGCCCAGGACCCAGACTTGGGAACCGCGGTGCCAAGGGCCACTCTGGGCGGTGGCCCCATCCTCCCGGGCCTGCCCAGGCAGCTGCTCCTCCTGCTCCTCCCTGCTGTGTGGGGCACAGCTGGGAAGGGGCACTGGGCCCCCCACTCCCCTGGGACTGCCTAGCCTTCTGATGTGCTGTCCACTTGGTCACCCCAAGTGTGAGGTCCTGCCTTGCCGGGACTTTGCCGGGAGAGCCACTCTAAGTCTCATGGCTATGCTGTGTCAGTGGCAGAGCGGGCTGTCTCCCTCCCCCACCCTCTCTCTCTCTCTCACACACACACACACTCACACACACCATCACCATCACCATCACCACCTCCACCTCCACTATCCGAGCTAAGGATCAGCTGGACCCAGACACCCGCCTCCACCCCAAGGAGCCCGGGAACAAGCAAACAGCTGCCTAGGTACCACAGCTAAGTCCTATTTTTATCATTAAAAATACATCCAAAGGAAAAAGAAACAAAAAGAACAATATTTGTGCTGGTGGTTGCTACAGACAGCAGGAGTCTGAGGGCCGAAGGTGCTCAGCAGGGTCGGGCTCCCTGGGCTGCTCCCGGACCCCAGATCTGCTAGCCAGGAGTGGCAGGGGCACTCACAGGGGGGGCATGCTGGGGCCCCCCTGCCTGGCCCTCTGAGCAGCGTGCTGTTTGTCTCTACTCCTGCACCATCCCCTGCAGCCGTGGTGTGCCTCCCCCCCACCTTTTCTCTTTGCTCCAGGCACACAGAAAGACCGCGCTTTCCCGGCCCCTCCCCATCCAGGTGGGGCCCGGAGACCCCTTTTGGCCACAGAACACTTTGGCAGAAGAGAGGTTTCCCCCGGGCGCTCCCAGGCGCAGAGGTCCAGCGGTCCTCCTTCGCCCCCTGCTGGCCATGGGGTGACTCAGCAGCGGGCGCAAGGCTTCCTAGCACTCCACCCGGACTGGGTGGCGGCTGACCCACGCTGTGGGTGATGGGGCCGGGTGTGGCTCCGTGTCAGGGCACTTGTCCAGCGTGCCCCCCAGGGCCCTGGCACTGCAAGAAAAATCAGTCCGTGGTGTGCCCAGGCTGCTGTGTGGGTGGATGGGCGGCACTGCTGCTCAGGGGCATGTGAGACAGGTGTGTATGTTAGCTGCACTGGACCTGGAGGACGTAGATCAGGAAAGACTAAAAGTGTGAGCCCACGGGCAGACGCCAGTGGCTCAAGCCTGCAATCCTAGCCACGTGCAAGGCTGAGAGCTGAGGATCACTGTTAGAAGCCAGCCAGGGCAGGAAAGTCTGTGAAACTCATTGCCAGTGAACCACCAGAAAGCCAGAAGTGGAGGTGTGGCTCAACTGGTAGAGTGCCGGCCTGAGGAGAAATGCCAAATGAGAGCACAAAGCCCTGGGTTCAAGCCCCAGTACCGGCAAACGTGTGCGCGTGCACACACACATTTCAAGTATGACCCTGTTCCCCAGCGGTCAGGACAGGGTTAACCTCCCCACTCCAGCACCTCAGCTCCACAGCCGAGGTCTGCTCCCGATCTCCAAGGTAGGAAAGATCCAGAAGGAAGTACAGATCCAGACCCACACTCCTGGAGCTTCCTCCCCAGGAGAGACAGGACAGCAAAGACAGCTCAGTCCCTGGGGAGCCCCCCACCCCACCTGCCCTCACTGCCCCCCCTGGCCGGCGTCCGTGTGCGCCTGTCCCATAGCTAGGACCACTGAGGCCCGTGCTGGGAGGCCCAGGAGACCCGTGCTGGGTCTCGAGCTGCCCCCTGGTGGCAGACGGCCCCATCACCGCCTGGCGCCTCTCCCTGTGGCTTTGGGGGTTTCTGGAGCAAGCACCTGGGCCAAGCAGCTGGAGTGGGGGCTGCGGCCGGGACCGCCCCTCCCCGCCGACCCTTGGTCACACATGCCCTGGGCAGCCTTTCCAAGGAAAGTAAAGCCTGGAAGAATTTCCCATGGAGGGAAGGTCCTCGTGCCCCTGTCCATCATGGAGTGGGGGAGAGGGGGAATGCGGGCTGCAGACCCGGTCAGGGGAGAGGCCGGGCCCACACCCCGCTGCTTCTGGAAGCCATGGGCAGAGGTGGCTTCCCATCCCCTCCCTCCCACGGGACCGCTCCCGGGGCTGGCTCTTATCCCAGAGGATGACAACTCACGGCCAGATCTTTGCGTAGGTTTATTCTGTGCGATGCACAGGCTTTTTCCAAGCCCAGGCTGGCCTTGCACTTCCCAGCCTCCAGCCTCAGCCTCCCAAGTGCTGGAATGAAGGCCTACACCTCCCTCTCCGCCCTGTCCACCCTGGGTCAGCTCAGAGCACTGCCTACCCTGAGAAGGGACTCTTTACCTCCTTTGGTTCTTCCGATAGCCTGGGGAAGAACCCTTTTTTATATGTATATGTGTGTGCATGATGCATGTATGTGTGTATGTGTGTGTGTGTGCTGGTATCATGGCTTAAACTCAGGGTCTGGGCACTGCACCTTAGCTTTTTTCCCTCAAGTCTGGCCCTCTACCACTTGAGCCACAATTCCTCTTCTTTTGCTTTTTTGCTGGTTCGTCAGAGGTGAGTCTCACAGACATTCCTGCCCAGGCTGGCTTTGAACCGTGACTTGAGGATCGTGGCCCTGAGTAGCTGGGATTACAGATGTGAGCTAACTGCATGTTAGAAGGGAGGTCGCAGGATCTGGGAGAAGCTGAGCCCGCAATCTCCCCCAGCGGGGCCACGCTGACACTCAGACCAGATCAGCTTTTCTCCGGTCCTGAGACCCATCCAGGGACCCCAGGGCCTCGGTGGGCCTCGGTCCTGGGCAAACACCTGCTGACTCCACCCCAGCCCCAGCCCCAGGCCAGGCACACATGCTGCATGATGGACTCTGCCCCAGCCAGCACCTGAGCCGCGTTCCTGGGGTGGAGGGGCTCAAGCGCCTGCCCCCCTCCGACCACTCCTGCCCACAGGCTGGGTGGAGTTGCCAGACTGGCCCCAGGGAGAGCTGCGGGGTCTAACCCTGGCTCAGGGGCCCCTCTGCCCCCCTCCCCTGCCCCCTTCCCACCACGCCCAGTGCCCAGGCACTGCCAGCCACGTCCTCTCCCGCAGGTGCCAGTGAGGGCCGCAGGGCTCAGATTACAGGGCCCGCCTTGGGCTGGGGTCGCAGCCAGGGGTCCATGCTCCTAGGAAGAGGGGGAGGAGGCAGGGAAGGGCGGGCACGGTCACAGACAGCGCGGCCCTCAGCCCGTGTAGGGGCCGCCCTTGGTGGAGGGGGGTGTGGAGGGGACCCCTTGGTGAGGATTGGGGCTCCCCTCCTTGGGGTCAAGGGCAGCACCTCTTTCCCGCCTGTCCAGGATGGCCAGACCCCGCACCA